CCACTGAAGTTTTTGACTCCTTCAGAGTGGTCATAGGTGTCTTGGTGGCTTCCCTCACCACTCTTCTTCTTGCCCGGTCACCCAGTTTGGGAGGATGGCCAGCTCTAGGCAGATTTAAACAAGTGACATACTCCTTCCATTTCTTAATGATGGATTTAATTAAACTCTGTGGTATGTCCAGTGACTTGGAAATCTTTTTGTAGCCAACCCCTGACTTATACTTTTCAGTGTTCTCTTCTCTGAGTTGCTTGGAGTGTTCTTTTGTCTTCATGTTGCAGCTGTAGCAGGAATACTGATGAACCTGAGACTGTACCTCCCAGACACAGGTGTTTTTATACTACAATCACTTGATAGACATCAGCTGCACTTAGGTGATCTCCATTTCACTAATTGTGACACTGCTGGACCTCTGTTGAAGTAGGTAAGTCACTTTAAATGGAGTAAATATTTCTGAAAACAGTCATTTTACATTCATTGACATTATTTTGTTAAAATCTATTTTCACTTTTTTTTTGTTTTTTGTGCAAATTCTCGTTAAAAAAGCCAAATTATATTGGCCATAATTTTGTGTATAAAAGCAACAAAAGGGTGAAACATCCAAGGGGGGTGAATACTATTTATACGTATTGTAGTCAACTTTTCCAATGCCTTTGGACTACATGTGTCAAAAATAATGAACAAACATCTACAATGGCTCCATAAAGATCCTGCCAGAAACACCTATTTAATTAAATCCAGCACCTCCTTTGTCAGGCTGCAAGGTGACTCAGTGGTTAACACCGTTGCCTCGGAGCTAGAAGGTCGCAGGTTTGCGTCCCGGCAAGAACATCCGGGATCTTTCTGCGTGGAGTTTGCATGTTCTCCCGTACAGCGTGGGTTTTCTCCGGGTTCTCTGGCTTCCTCCCACAGTCCAGGTGATGATTCTAAATTGTCCGTAGGCGTGAAAGTGAGTGTGCTTGGTTGTCTGTCTCTAAGTGTAGTCCTGCAATAGACTGGCGACCTGTCCACGGTGTCCCCTGCCTTCGCCATAAGTCAGCTGGGATAGGCTCCAGCCCCCTGCAACCCTAGTGAGGATTAAGTGGTGTATAGATGATTAAAGGATGGATGGACCTCCTTTGTCACAAACCAAATCAGAGAATACATTTTCTGTACCATTTAATGTTTTCTATTCTGTCATTCTTTAATTTCCCACTGAAATTTCTCCTAAATTGCTTGTTTGCTTATTTTGATTGGATTTTGATCCTGATCTTTCGGAGAAAGAAAGAGAGAGAGATATTCCAGTGTGCATCAATTGAGCTTTCAGTGTTCTCGTTGAAAACTGGGTGATGTTCAGTCTGAAGACCTCTTTTGCTCCCTTTTCAACCAGCTAAAATGTGGTTACATCATCAATCTGTCGCTAAACACAAATTTGTTAAATTATTTTGCTGAAATGTTCAGTTGTTCATTGGAAAGTTGATGACATTAATTCGTGTAACAGTAGTTCTTCAATGTCCTATTGACCTGATATGATAGCAAAATGTGCTCTACATGAAGATTTCAATACATTTATGCTTCATAAAATGTCAGAAACATAGAGGTAAAGAGTCTGTGTGTTAAATTGTTATGGGAGCAGTAGTAAAACAAGAACTTGTGTTTACTGCTGTAATGCATGTATGCAAGTATTTAACGGTTAGTTTTGACACCTCATAAGCTGGAATGTGCCCTCTGCCCTTTCAGTATGAGAAGTGTAAATCTGTGTGTGGCATGTAAACCTCCCTGCAACAGCAGGTTAGCTCACTGGCTTAGGTAGTTAGATTAGATTTTCTTTTTGTTCCACCTTGCTGCTTCTTCTTTTTTTTTTATTTTATTGTGCTGTTGTTAGTAGATATAAGTCAAAATGAAGACAGGCTATTATTTGGATGTTAGAGGATAAAAAAAAAAACAAAAAACAACACTATGGCAAATACTGGTGAAATATCGTCAAAATGTAAACATTTAATATTAGTCTCTAAAGAGTTTGTGAAAAAAAAGTTTGGACCCTGTGTTAAATGTCTTTTGACCAGAGATCATATTTATTTTTTTAATCTAGGGTCAAGTGCAAAGGTCAAACGGGTGACGTGTGTGGAGACAGAGCACTGCACTAGTTTGGTTTCCTTGGCTGCTATCTTTTTGTTTATGTAAATACAACTTTTGGCCCTAATGCCATCTTCCCGTCATTGTAGTAAACCACAGTCAGCCTCCCCCTACAGATTTTAAATAATTACTGTGAATTCATTGACTCATAAATGTAAAAAAAAAAAAAAAAGCTTTGTTTCTGATGACAGCTTTGTTTCGTTTTAAAAGTTACCACCTCGGTGTCATCCACAGTCCTCCAGGCATTGTGGACTTTTTTGATGCTTTCCATAACTTTCCATCTCCTTATTGAATGAAAACCCCTCTTAACCCCTTGACAAAGTAGACAGAAACATCATAATACAAGATCAACTTAGCCTACTGTTGGTTTCTGTAATGTTACCTAAAGCTTTCAGTAGCCCAAGTAGATTATTATAATAAATATTATAGTAGATATATTTTATGCCTCTACACCCAGTGTGGCTGAGGGCATTATGTTTTCCCATTCGTATAAATGATATTTCTGAAGTGGCTTTTTGGGACTTCTTCAACTGTGGTGCAAACAAACACTTGAGGGTGAACTGAACGGAATTTGGTGATCAAATGTCAAATCTCAAGATCACATTTCTGACGATGTGACACCATAACACATGAGCAGAAGAGTGATTTTTTTTTTTCTTCCATATTTCACATTTGGTTACATTTCTAAACTAATCTCGGGTGCATATATTCCAACTGATTTGATCATTTTGATCTGTGCTGACAGGATTTAGATGTGTGTGAAACATCCACATTTTAGCATTTGTAGCATTTTTGCAGAAACATTTCTATTTGGGGTGCTGTCTGCTGTCATGGCCACAACTTTGCGTTCCATCAGGATCAGCCTTGCTATTCATGCATGCAACACCTACAAGGGATTTTGTCTTTTTTGTTCCTCAGAATGAACTTACACCTGTCTTTACTGTGTACAATATATTTTAGGAGTCTGGACAAACAGAGATTCAAACTTTAATCTGATTGGTTGAGCCGTAAAATTTGAGTAAATCTTGTTTAAAATTTGCCCATTACACTTGCTAGAATTAAATATACGCTAAGACAGCCATCACTTGGGTTTCAATCTCACATTAAAAAAATTAAATATGCAATAAGTGGTGACTATCAGATGTTTTTAAATTCTCCTGACAGACTTGATCAGCGCTGTAGTTACATTTACAGCCCTTTTATCTGTGACAATTGTTTCAGATTGTCCACCCCTGTGTTCTGTAAAAGATTAATGTTATCACCACCTTTGGCAAGATTTGCTAACTCATTGATTTTCTCATTGACTTAGCTTTCAATAAACTATTCAGTGGAGGGAAGTGTGGGGTTCCTTGCCAACAGTGAGCGCATGAGACAAAGTCAAACAGCAAAGCCAGCCTCTCTGAGAGTCGGCAAATCATTACACAACCTTAAAAACAAACATTGTACACCCAAGCACTACATGTGTCATGTAATGACTGGTTTAGTATATCTATCCACAAAGCTGCAGAGAAAGCAGGTTTATCCCACTGGGGTTAAATCCAGCACTGGTTTTATCACCTTATCATTTCTATTTTCCTCTTATCCAATCATCAGAGAGCTCTTTCTAACCATTTGACGAGCTTTAAGTTACACTTACCTCCCACCTGGGAAGAAGTTGGAGCTAATAACGGAGACGGTGCAGAGTGTGGTGCTTCTTCTTGGTCAGGGTTGAGTCGATTCAGTGCAGATGACAACCTCCGGAGAGGGCCAATCCCTCCCATCTCCCTACAAGACAAGCCTTCTTTTGATGGCTGACTGGAGTTTTGTGTACTTTATGCAAATACTGCATCTGTGATTTTCAATCTTTCAGTAAACAAAGCTTGATGCGTTGATCCTTCGATGGTGTGCTCGATTTTGATAGGCCTGATTGTACTTTGGCTACAACCGATCCAAGTTTTTCAAAGTGTTTCAGATCGTCTTGCAGAGAAACCTTCAGTCCAGTCATGACTTTAAAGCTGAGTAAGCCCCTCTTTGTTCTGAATAACAATTTCACTAAGGACATTTCCCCTTAGTTCTGATGCCGAGTTCTCCGCTGTCACAGCAGGAGTTGCTTAAACTCACCTCTGATGAATAGATCGAGTGTTTTCTGCTTCATTGGGAAAATACAGGAAATGTGACGTTTTCTACAAAGGCCTTAATATGTTCGGTGGCACTAGTTTGCTAGAAATTGTGCAGAATCTGAAACATTTCATTTTACAATAACTTTATATGCTTTAAATTGTTTCTCAATCCTCAAACTTTACTTTTACGTACAGGTTTACATGAAAATATGACTCCACTTTACAGTTTCTACATCATTTCTTTTTCGCGCAATGTTTCTGTCCCATCTTTTTTTGGTCTTTTTCATTGAATGCTATTATCTTGAGCTTTTGTGGAAGCTGCTTGGAGACACTTTTATCTTCCTGCCTTTTCTGCATACTGTCTTGTTAATTTTAGGCTAACATACATCTGAGTGTATGTAGGTAACCACATATATTTCTAGGATTGCAGTTTTTAAATCATTCACAGAAGCGAGAAGGCTACTAATGAGAAAACTAAACTACGAAGAAGTTGACTAAAATATATGATTCAGCTCAGCATACTTTGTTTTGTTTTTCTTGTATTTAGCAGAAAAGCTGAAGTTTAGGCCCACTTCCTTTATATTTTTCCCCAGAGCTTTTGCAGTCTTCCTCAGTGGATAGAGTTTGGGACTGGGTTAGAAAGTCATGGAAAAAAAAGCTCAACCTTTTTTTTTGTTTTTGCTCTTTTCATCATTACTCATCTAAAGAGGCCAAGTGTTGCTAGGTAAATACAATATCAACAAATGTGTATAAATGTGGCGCTGGATTACAGAAAGACAGAATGAGATCATCGCTTGGATTCCTATTTATTTAAAAATAATCAGTCATCCAGAGAAACTTCTCAAAAGATCTATGAGATCACGTTCTTCGTCACTGCTGTTAAATATGATTCAAATAAATAATAATAAAAAAAAAACATAAATCAACAGTAACACATTTTATGTAGACTAGCATCAGTGTTGGTTTCTGATATGACTGAGTGCCTTAAATAGCAGTAGCATTTTCTAGGTAACACTTTAGAAAGAGTTAGACAAATAAACTGATGGCTGAGTTAGTTTAAAAATAAAAAAAAACAAACTTTGCAGTATGGCTGTTTATTCCCTAGTCTGGCCCTAAGCTCCCAGTTAATGATCAAAGTCATTAGATAAGATTAACACATGTTGTTCCCTGACTGATAAAGAGTTTATTTGTACAGCCCTATAATGAAGTGTTACCGGTTTATAGCCATACAGGCTTGTTAAACACACACACACACACACACACTCACACACACCATGCTAAAATATGGTTGGAGCATGCATCGTGAACCTCTGATGCTACACCACCTTCTGTCTGTCCCGCTGGGTCGCAGGCAGTCCTGGCGGCTTGAGGGAGGAAGGGATGGGCAGCTCATGCAGGCTGTCCGGGAAGGTGGCCGGGCTGAGCTGCTTCAGGACTGTCTGCATGGCGGTGAGTAGCAGCGGTGCCGGGCTCCTCCCCGCCAGGTACCTGAACGTCTCCTCGCCCAGCACCTTGCTCCAGCGCTCGGGCTCTTTCCCCAGAGCTGCCTTCATTTTAAAATTAACTTTCGGCATGAACATGAGCAGGTTGTCCAAGCATTGCCTCTTCTCCCCGCCGCTCGCCGCCTTGGAGTCCCTGAGTTTCTCCAGGATGACATCCAGCGGGGTCAAGCCGTCGTGGTCCCGGGCGTGCGGGGAGGCTCCGCTCCCCAGCAGCATGATGACCGCCTCGGGCCGCTGGAGCTCGCAGGCCAGATGTAGAGGGGTCCGGCCGTCCTCCGTGTGAAGACAGCCGGGGTATGGGGTGGTGCTGGTTGTCCGGTGAGTCTCTTGTAGGATAAGGCCGAGAATGTAGCGCCTGTCGTAGCGGACGGCCATGGTGAGGTGAGGCGCCGTGGACGGGCAGCTACAGAAGCGCTCCCCGGGCTTTGCTAGCGCCTCGTCGGTGTATCTGCTCAGGAGGTACTGCGCGTACGCCTGGTGGTCGTGAACGATAGCGTAGAGCAGCGCCTCCGACGGAGTGTAAATCCTCTGGCTGGCGTCCTCCTCCTGGTAAAAAGTCTCCATGGTCCTCATATCCTCCAGCATCCACACCGGCTTCAGGTCCCGCACAGCCCGGTAGTAGAGAAGCGAGAAGGACTTTCGGTGCTTCTCGACGCTCCGAGCCGCCGAGCTGACGGTTAAAGACGCCATAGCTACCGGGGGGCTAACTTTACGTCCTCAACGGCTTTCAGAGGGCGTCCTTCGTCGCGCCGGAGCCATTATTTCTTCCGGGGCTGTGGAGGTTTGTGTGGACGGAAGGTAGGAGCATTTTTGGACAAAAACGAGGAGCAGAGAGGAGGCTGTGGCTGCATCCAGAAAGTCGCAGGAAAAGTGGCGAAGGCGCATTCCTGGACGCTCTGACAGCTGCGGAGGCTCTGCAGCACGGAGCCAGCACGCATGCGCACAACATAAAAAACGTCAAACAATCTCGGAAACTTTATTGACAACCAGAGTCCGGCTGTTATGCTAATGCACGCATTAGGCAACGACAAGCCAAGCCTGTGATTTATGTGCAGAATTCCATTTTTTATGCACCATGTGATTCAAGATTGCACATGCAGTATGTGCAGTGAAACTGCAAAGTGACCTTCTCACAAGGATGTGTAATAACAATAATGCATGATAAAAAAAATCCTTCAAAATAGGAAAAAATAATTAAGTCATAAATAATGAGGAAGAGGTGGAGACTGTGAAGCTAAAGTGCAGTGCAGCTGTTGTTATGTTGTGTCATGCATGAGAGTGACTGTGTGTGTGTGTGTGTGTGTGTGTGTGTGTGTGTGTGCATACATTTCATATGCATATTTACATTGATCCAGTGTGCTGTAGGTTTTTGAGATGACCTTCTATGATTTGGATTTAATCTGTCAATGTCATAAGTTAAAAAACTTTATTGATCCCTCACTGGGGAGATTCACATGTTACAGTAGTTGGATACAGATAAGGCCTGGAAGAAGCAGGACAAGAAGTTACAAAAGTACAGTAGGGCTAAAAAAAAAAAAAAAAGATATAATAATAAAGGTCTCACAGAGACAATGTACCAGACATAATAAATATACATATGGATATGTACATATATAACATAGTGAATTTACGAGTGAAGAATGATACTGAAATTTCTGATATTAATGTCGATAATCAATTTTTGTTCTCATCAAAAAATGAGTATAAGTAAGCACCGAGTAAATCTACCTATTTACCTTCTATCACTGGCTATGACTCCGACCCTAATAGCAGTTACTGTAGAAAAAACGAAAATGACAAATAATTGTCATAATAATGTGCGGTGAGGTTCATGGCTGGTGAGGCACTGACTTAATCAGAATCTGATTTACAAATACATGCACTCTACACAGTAACATATTTGCCATTTGATTGGCAGCAGTTTACGGGTTATGTTGCATATCTGCATTCTTTACACATACAGGCTGTAGCCCAAAAAAACGCATGTTTCTTTCTTTTTTCTTTTTTTAAAAAAAGTTGTTGCGGTCTTACCTTTACCTTTAAATGAAGTCCATGCACCGCTCCTTCTGGACAAAATATCCGTTACTTTTTTGTGTAAGTCTCCTTATCTTCCTTCACTGCACTTGACCTGCTAACTGTACACTGTACCTAGTATAGCTTGCTGTCACTTATTCTGCAGCCATGGAGTCACAAGAAGCATGTCTGGGATCGGAGCGCCCCCTGCCATGAGGTAAGAGAACTGCCTGCCTCACCTGGAACCTCTTCTCAGCCGGTTATGATTGCTCAGCACACAAAACACATTACACACATACAGTTGGTGACAAAAAAAAAACACTGTACATTATTATATAAATCAGATGAACGATGGAAAATCAGTTCATATATTATATGTGTTTGAACTGTGTTATTGGTGACATACAGACAGCAGCACGCTGTCACTGCATGGCAACCAGCGCAGGTAGCAATGGATTGCACAAACCAAGTGAGGCTGAGCTCGCTGCTGCCTCACTTGGATTGCACAGTGCCTCACTTCGCTGGCTGCCATGCAGTGACAGCCAAGGCATGGGAGCCTGCGCAGTGAGGGATTGTGCAATCCAAGTGAGGCACAGTTTGCCGCTGCCTCACCGGCTTCTCTTTCAAGCATTTGAATGGGAAATTGCGAGAATTCAGCGATTTTGAATTTAAAAATCATCAAAACTGACGAGGCTAAGTGAAAAAATAAATACCTTATAGTACATATCACTGGATAAATATAGCTATTTAAATTATTTTATTATTATATTTTTTTTTCTTTCTGTGATGTCAGGTGAGGCTCTGCCTCACCTGCCTCCCCTGACTGCACGCCACTGATTCCTGGACTTATTTAGTGGCTGTTTTTCAATATTATAACTGTGTTTTCTGGTTTCAAACAGCGGTAATATTCATAAAGAAGCTTACACACAGAAACTTACATACAGTCTCAAGAAACTAACGAACAGTGTAAAAATGTCACCAACGACTTTTACATTGTGTGACTTGTGCTGCGTAAACTAGACATTTATTTATTTTACAGTGACTTTGTTTCTACATCTGGCTTTGGAATTTACTTCACAGAAGACCAACCCTGGGAGCAAATGACCAGCCAACACCCAGCACCCAAAGTATTCCACAGAAGCAGACTTTGTACCAATCAGACAGGTTCTGGAGAATATGAAACAAAAGAGGGAGCAGGCATGGATTAGTCCTTTTCTAGAGTTTATTTTAAATTTATTGAATAGAAGTTATGCAAAGATGTCGCAAAGCTGAATCTGAGAGATAAAAATGAAAGAAAGCCCTGACAGCCCCAAAAGAAAAGCATTAAAAGCACCAAAGAAAATACTCTTTAGTGATTTAATCCCCACCCAATGCCCCAGACCTACAGTATACCAAAATCAAGAGATACAATGCTAAGCTATAACAGTTTTGGAACCACTGCAAAAAAGAATAGAACTAAAGTAAAGTTCATAGAAAAGTCTCCACAGTGCAGTCATTTGATTTTTGTCTTGTATGTGTCTGCAGAAAAAAAAAAAAAAAAACATGTGCAAGTGCAAATAAGCAGCACAGTGTAACGGAAACTAAAATGTGAAACATGACAGCATGTACTAATCAACATTTGCGTTGTACACAGTCAGGATGTGAATCGTGTGAAGTGCTGCAGTCACTGGGAGTAGTCAGGCTGCATGTGACTGAACAGGAATCACAACACTTATGATCCACTGACTTGAAACTCAGTTAAGTCAGTTAACTCAGTTAAAGTCCACTTCTTAAACTGTCAAAGAAACTAAAGTAAGGCCTACGCCCTGTAACAGATTAAGAGGATACAAAAATACCGGGTGCAAACAGATAAGAGGCCCCACCCTTTGTTAAACTCCCTCCTAAACTTTCAGTAACATTTTACAGATTACACAGACCTGCAGAGTGCTGCTGCTGGTTCAAAATTATACTTGACCTTCAATATTTTGTTCATGGTGGAGATGAAGGGAGGCTGTGCACCAGCAGATCTGCACCAAAACTCCAGAAATAGCATGCAAATTACAGAGTACTACATAATACTGGTACGTTAAATGATTCAAAAGTCTCTTGTCTTATTAACTATAGTTTCTGTATGATCTTTATCTTTAATGATTCATTAACTTATTGACCTACAATACCTGTGTTGATTCTAGACTGTGTGCTATTTGATCTTATACATGAAAACAAATAGGTTAAATTTACTTGTAACACAATAAAAAAAAGTTTGGTAGAGCTTAAGGTCATCATCCGGCCACCTTGAACCATCCTTTAGTTATGCTGCTACAGGTCTTCTGGGGGAACTCCCATGATGCACTGAGCAACTCTCCTCGACTCTTCTCCCTTTTACTCTCCGTGTATGTCCTTGCAATCATTGCATATTATTACCTGTGAGGCTTTTTTTCTCTTGGAGTTTGTGCATTTTCCTCTCTGCCCTCCCGCTCTCTCTTTCCCTGCACCTTTCTGCAGGTATCGATAGAGCTGCATGTTTCTAATCTGCAGATACTGACCCCGCCAATATGTGCAGTATCTACTTTTTTGTTGTTCCTCAATGATTTCTCATCTTCTCTCTCTCCTCTTCTCCTGATCAGTTCAGGGAGCCTTCGGTCCCCGCTGTCATCAAGTACTCACTCAAGGGATTCTGCAAATTGGATTTTCTCTCTATAACAGTTTACGGTCTGTTCTTTACTATGTTAAACCTAAGGTAGGAAGGTATTATCGAGCAAAATTCTGTAATAACCTTTCAGCGCATTTTAATTCTAGTGGTCTGAGGGGAAACTAGACTTTTGCACCTCCCCTGTTTTCAGACTTTAGATAATGTAGCCAGTGCCCGAAATTATTTCCGAATTACAGGTCTTTTCAGAGCAGATCACGGGAGACAGTATGAGAAGCAATGAAGTTTGCTGTGGGCTTAAGATGTGGCGGCTAAATGGACTTCCACTTTGAAAAGCAGGGTCTCCCATGTAAAGGTGAACATGAATGCTGACTTTTGGCTTGGCTGCTTTTGAGTATTTAAAACCTGTGCATGTGCCTGTACTCATCTAGTCTAGGGCTTAACATTTTGTTTGAGCCTTGTGCACATTTAACTGCCCTGAGATGTCATATGTTCAGATTATTGCTATACAAATAAAATTGAACTGACTTCTCTTAAAAGACTCCAAGCTGTCTGAGATGCTAAAGAAGGGACACTTGTGCAGCTCTTGTGGTCGCATTCTGGAAATCTTTTCAAGCTTTCACTACATCAGTATTACAACACACTGGTGCTCCATCTTTCTGACGTCCCTGGAGACCTGGCCTTTCTTTTTTGCCCCTGAGGCGATGGATGATATATCCTCCGCAACATCTGTGTGCCAGCGGGTGATATACTGGGAAAAAGACCAGGAGGAGAAGGAGGATGGTTCAGATGACAGAGAGGACCACTCAGGTGAAGATGAAGGAGATGAGAGGGGGCTGTTGGGGGCGAATATCCGAGCAAAGCCTGCTGCTAAAGTGTCTGCTCCTGCTGAGCTGTCTGCGTGTCTGAGTGAACATGCCCAAGTGGTAACATTGTGTACATATTGCTCCTTTTGTCAGATGTGTTTCAGAATGATTGCCTGTTTGTTGTCCACATGCACAAAAACAGATCAGGGTTGAGGTTTATTTACAGAATTTTTTTCCTGTGCCCTCTCTGTGGCTGCCTCTGGCAAAGGCCTTGTCCTCCCTCTTTTCCTTTCTCTTTCAGTTGTCCTTTACAAAAGTCCAGACTCCCTTTTAACTGAACCTTTTCCTACAGCTAGCTGGCTGGTCTTGGCCTCTTCTGCAGAAGGGGGCAGAGGCTGGCGTGGTGACCGCACCACCTGTTGTAGCACTCTGGTTGGCTGCCACAACCAGGGGCCGACTAATT